GATATATGTACGCACATATGTTATGTGTGTCAGCTCATATGAAAATCAGATATACGAGATGTATTTCGCTGAAATTGAGATTGTATACTGAGGATCTGTAAGTAGTGAGTAAGAGTAAACGCGCCGCGTCCATTGATCACTGCTCATCTCGGCAGCACAGCCGGTTTTAAACTTCTGGCCTGCCGCTGTAAGAGAGGCGGGAATGCAAGCGGGGGCTTTACACATGCCGGTGAGCCAGGTCTATGTAGAGGAGCGTATCAAGGAGAAAAAAAAGATCAGTCAAGTAGGAATTGGAGGAGGAACAAAACTGAGGGGAGTCTGATGTAGACCTTGATAGGGGCAGAGATGGAGTCCCTGGCCATTCGGATCTGGACCATGTCGAAGATGTTGGTACAGATCGACAAGGCCTCGTCGGCCGCAATCGCCGAAATCGTTTGCTGACACGCGCCCGAGAGCTCTCCCGGATTGGCCGCCAAGCTTTGGGCCACCCCCGCCGCCTTCGAGGACGACAGCCCGGCCGCACCTTTCTTGCTCACATCTAGCCCGGTCGTCGTCCCCCCCACAACCGTCCCCACCCAGATGCTCACCATCACCATCGTCATCATGTCGCGTATGAGTCCCATTTTATACAATATATGTGCAGAAGATGTTGGTCGAAGTTTTCGAGGATCAATACTGGCGGAAATCGATGTTTGGGGTGAGAAAATTTTACAATCGTTGATGCTGATATACACACACGCTACTGAGGATCAGAGATACTTATTTTGTACAAGTTTAAAACAGAGGGTGAGATGAAGGGGATGAAGAACGACGGCCTCTGATCGAGGACAGCGGCTTTTTTATATGTTCGAAGCCGGCGCAGTCATGCAACGGCCAGAACAGCAAGTAGCGCCAGGAGAAGCCAATCGGGAGTCTTGAGTGAGCATGAAGAGTGAGGCAAGAGTGACTGTACTAGAGTTTTCGTCGGCCAGGCGTTGGACGACGGCTCAAGATGCCCAGACAAGATATACGTTCGAGGGAGTGCAGGGGAATGGCTTCTTTGACGGAACCTTGCTGAACGACGGCTCGGCTCAGCTTCATACCCCGGCTTGGCCTTGGTGTGCAGTTTCTAAATATTCGAAGAGACTGGGCTCTTGCATGGGAGGTCCAGACTGACATGGATTGAACGGTCCACAACCATAAGACCAAGGTGAATGTCATGAACCCTTCAAAGACGGGTTCGCGTCTCTCGACGATACCGTCCCTCATCGTTCACTCACACCATCTTCTCTCGCCCTGATCTGGTGACGCACATATGCAGACCCCGGCCAAGTTCAACCAACTGCCGTTGGCTTCGACGGCCACGGAGACGAAGACCCAGCCAGGTGCCCAAAAAATGGACAGTGATCCTGCAAGCACACTACAAGTACTCCAAATAAAAGGGGAAGCGAAGACCCAAGTTAAGCATAGACGGGAATTGAAACGTCCCGCATGATAGTCGTGTTGAGTAAGATTGACCCAAGCCCCCATACTCTGAAATGAAATGGACAATTTTGGGAATGGGTCAATCTACAATCAATGACCTTGTGGTTGAACCCAACCCTGCTCACTGGGGAGGAGTACTCCCTGGTCATTACTTTAACATGCCTGCTCACCAAGGAGAGGGTCTGCCAGGTGAATGGGTACACCTTGTACCCGTTCTCTGAGGAGGAATCCTCCTTGGCAAGCATGTATAGGGTGATCACCAGGGAGTTATGTATCCTGCCCAGCAAAGAAGTAGAACTGTACATCTTTTACCCTATGTCCAGCACGGATTTGTCCTGAGCCATCAATTTCTATTTGCTCTCGGCCGTTGATGAAGTGGGTACAAATGCTTTGTCCGATTTGCTTGAGAGAAAGCTCCCTGGGTGAACCTCTACAAGACCAAGGAGGAATCTTACCCACGGTACATCTTTTACCCTATGTCCAGCACGGATTTGTCCTGAGCCATCAATTTCTATTTGCTCTCGGCCGTTGATGAAGTGGGTACAAATGCTTTGTCCGATTTGCTTGAGAGAAAGCTCCCTGGGTGAACCTCTACAAGACCAAGGAGGAATCTTACCCACGAGGCAAGGAAGCCCCCTCACAAGCAAGCAGCCACAAAGCAGACACTGCTCCCTTGGGGCCCTTGGGAGGAAGCTTACTTGTCTATCAGATACCAGCCACTTGCCAAGGTGTCATCCAGCCCAGCAAGCGGGTTCTTGTACCAACTCATCACCTCCAAGGTACCCCCACCCGCCGGCCGAGCGGCCAAGTTGGCAAGTCCTGACGAGCATAAATGGGTAGTATGCACATACAGCTAATTCGGAAAAGCTTGTCCTTCCGAGTCTTTTTTCTTCTTTGTATGTACATAGAATTTCAAATATGCAAATACACAAAAGCATATTTCAAATGCCATCAACTGAGTTCTCATGTTCATGGCCAGTTGGTCAGATCCCGGCCGGCTTCAGTTCATGGCCAGTCATTCAAATCCCGGCCGGCTTCACCACCCACCCACCAGGCGATCCATCCATCCATCCAAACCTGCCCAGCTGCCGCCAAAAACCAAAAACCTCCCAATCATCCAATCGCAAAAACCGCCGACAATCACAAAAATGGAACTTGATTATCTCCAGGAGCCTTCCAAAACTCAAGAGTCGACTCTTGGACCATCACAACAAACCCCATACCATGGGTTATTCTTTGAAGGGACTCAGCCTCCGGAAACTCAAATTCAGCCCCTAGAAGCACTATCTCCTCCAGACCCTGACGACGAAGCGTACAAAAGCCCGCGAACTGTCCGAACCATTGTGCGACGGGGTCCGGTGAAGCGATCCAAGAAGGCTGCAGCTACAAGTGCCTCCAACGACAACGGCTCCCTCCTCATCTCTTTGGAGTACTGCTTCTGGGTCAATAACTACAACCCGCAAATCCCCGAGAAGCAACGTGCTGCCTCAAACTGCAAGAATGATTGGGGCAAGATTGCATCGAATAAGGAAGCGCTGCCAACATTGAAGACTAATCTCCTGGAACAAAAATGGGAGGAGCTTCAGGAACAGGTTCTGGGACTTATTGGTCGAGACAAGAAAAATCTGGCTATTTACGTGCAGCAAGTCAAGGCCGGTTTAAAATGGCTTCTTTATATTTCTGGTAGCCACACCTTCCCTTTCAGGCGCCATTACTACTGTTCGTTGGATGAAGAACTCCAATGTTTTGCTGAGGAGGTCGCTCGAAAGCCTTTGCAGAGGGTTTTCATACGAGTCGAAATGGACGACCCGACAGCCAAGGAGAAGTTGGATTTGGCCAAGCAGAAGTCGGCAAAGGAGGTATGTATCTTTGATCATAAATGAGTTGATACTGTTACCAATTTTGACCGAGTTGTTTCATTCCAATTCATTTACCCCACTAGGCACAGAAGGCAGCAAATATCCTAGCCATAGCCGTGGGATCTGAAGCAGAGCGCCTCCCACTACAACGAGAGGAAGCTCGGCAAAAGCAGAAAGTGAGTGTATTCTTATCATCATCTCTCATCTTGTGTACCTCTTGTGTACCAATAGCTGACTTGATTTTTTATGTATATAGAGGCAATCCGATGTCTGTGGTGACCCCGTTGTGCCTTTTGTCATCAAGCTGCGTCAACATCTGGAGAGGGAGTTGAATTCGAAGCCCTCAGAGGTCATTTTCTGGCCCCACAAGGATATTCCAAATCTTGTTCTTCGCGTCACCCACGATCGATTGTGGGCCTGGGCCCATGTACTTCTTGCAAAGTTGCAAGGCAGTGTAACCGAGGCTAACCGCCATGTTGACCTCAACATCCCACCCACATGTTCAACTTTCAAGTGGGAGAAACGACCCGGAATCACTCCTCTGAAGCGTGGTGGGGCTCCGGTGTGGTGTGCTGTGCCTGTTCCAATGCCAAAAGCATACAGCAGAGGTGTTGGGATAGCATAGGTACATACATGTGACAATCATTACAAGAGAAGGAACAATCATTATGGATGAGGTGTGGTATATACGGACAGGATTACATACAATGCGTGGATTGGGAGAACATGTCTCAACCAGGAATGGAACAAAGGAGCGGTGTGCATACGAGGAGTGGAGTGGGAGATCATATCTCAACCAGGAATGGAACGGAGGAGTGGAAGTATATACGTGGAGAGGAGTGGGAGAACATGTCTCGACCAGGAATGGAACGGAGGAGTGGTGTGTAATAAGGGTACTTTATGTTTTACGTAAGGGTACAGGGTACGGATTGTAGAAAGTGAAGGGAGGAAAATATTGAGGCAGAGGGAGGAAGGAAGGAGTGAGGAGAGGCTTTGACCCCCAAATCCTGGGTGGAAGGAGATAACAGCAGGTCTGGCAGGCTGGTACTGCCTATGCAGAGTGTTCTGGAAGATGGCTTGGTTACCTGGCGACACATGACATCATGCTGCGCTTGGTTCTAGAAGACGGCTTGGTTGCCTGGCAATGCATGACATCATGCTGCGCTTGTGTGCTCCCTTGCATGCATATTATGTGACAAGGTCTGGAGTTAAGTGTTCCTAGCACAGCATAAGCTGCGCTATTTGTTTGGAGGCTGTGTGCAAAGGCTGTGCAGGTGAGATCCCCTGCAGCAATATTCCCTCACACGGAGTCCCCTGCAGCAGAAATCCCTCACTCTTCAATATAAAAGAAGGACCTCTCACCACCAGAAAGTCTCTTCCCCCCATCAGCCTACAGAAGTCTCGCAGAGCAGTAAGTTGGTCCTGAGCTACTGGAAGTGTTCCGGAGTGTCAGTAAAGTGAAGAGTTAGAATTAGTGATAGTTAGTTAGTTAGTGAAGTTAGTACATCAGCCTACTGCGGTAAGTTGGTCATAGTTAGTTAGTGAGTTAAGTAGTGAGTGAGTTAGTGATAAGTAGTGATCTAGAACAGTATTGTAAGCGTGAAACCAACACAGAGTTCGGAATTTGAAGCATATTAGTAGTAGTAGTCATCATATAAGTAGTAGTACATTAACAATTAACCAATAACAAGTAGTAGTAGTATTAGTACCGGAGCTCTAGTTTTGATTAAAGTGCCTTAGCAAGAAATTGTTTGAGGAAGAGATCATTAACAAACTCTATAACAACTCATCTGTTTTGTGCTCAAGTCATCAGCACCACAGTTTCCATTATTAACCTGAAGTTGTAACAGATTCATTAGTAGATTGATACGTGATCTAGGTCTGATAGAGATTACTTTACGAAAGTAAGATCTATCTTGGAATCAGCCATACAATTATTAAATATTGATTACAAGACTCTTAGTTATTTGTTTAGTACATTTAGAGGGGCAGGTCTTTCAAACCACCCGTAAGTTGTAATAGCCTTTCAACCTATTTGCAATTTATTTCCCCCTCAAGGGATCTTTTGATATACATATACTTTACCGTGTCTATCCGTCCCAGGAGTCCTACACCGGTCAATTCCGATCCTTCCGGTGTGGTATACCTTAAGGGTAGCCATCTGGCCCATTTAAAAATTTTACAGTTTTTCTTTTATTACAAATTGCATACTTTTTACACCTTTTTTCTCATATATACACTCACAAATCAACCATTATGGCTCAAGAATTGGATTCTATGGTCAATTTCACCCTTGGTCACCACTGGAGGCGTCACTGGAACTCAACTGGATTGGAAGCTACACCCTCTGGACCATCACTACACTCAATTACACAACTCACCACCATGGCAACACTTCAACACTCAACACCAACAACAAATTACATCATTCACACTACACACATGCACGTTGCAGGACAACTACATACTCACATCATTATAGTACAGGTATACACATAACTACACTATCTTCTGACACTTGCTATATGTAGCTGCTAGGCTGGTCCTGTTGCTATGTCGCTTGTTAATCTTCCTTGCAGCTGTCAGACTATCTCACACCACTCATGTAATACTCATCACCTCACCTTAGCTTGCAGGCTAGTACATCACCTCATGTAAAATGCTTCACCAGCATAAAACCCTCATGTAGACTTCTAGTTCAAGCTAAAATAACTCTTATGACATCATGTAGGTGGCTCAACCAGCCAAAATACCTCATGTACATGTTCTGACTAGCTAAATCCCCTCATTGTAAAGCTCTGGCCAGCTAAAATATCTCATTCTCTTGTTCCCCTGAAGCTAAAATCCCTCACCTTTGTGTATTTAAGAGGCTCCCTTCTCAGTTGTTTTCCCCTCAGTTTAGTATCCACCTATTTCATACCCCCTACCCTTACAAACCCTTACATACCATTACATACCATCCCCTTACCATTGAAATATCAGCTAGACTCACTCTCTCACTCTCAAATCAACCTTTAGACCCTTATAAAACTGGGTTAAACCCTTTGTCCACCTGTTAAGCCACAGTTATCTTTTGATACACTCCACTATCACTTTATTAAACCTTCCAATCCGAGATTGGTGGGCTTGTCTAGTGTCTAGTGATCCAGGAAAGGCAGAGGTATCCTCATTCATCCCTTTCCACACTCAGCAAAAGGTTTTCACAAACACTTTTGAGCTTTACAAGGGAGTCCCCAACGTGATAGAGGATCCTGAAGTTTGGCAAGTGGATTAGATATATCTAAACCATTGTAGTGATTTTTATAGTTTATTTTAGTAGAATTTTAGTTAGTTTAGGCAGGAAAATTCCTGTTTTGACCACGTGACAAACCATATCTTTGAATAATCACATTCTGTTTAGCTTTATACGACTTAGTTCTTAGATATACCTAGTAGAACTCCGGATTAAGTAGTTAAATACTCAAGAATCAATTATAAAGTAGAAGACGAGGGGACCGATTAGCCGACATACTAGAGTAGTTAGGATAAAAAAGTTTAACTACCAGGTGGTAGCCGATTAAAACTCAGTGCGAAGTAGAATACTAGTCTATGACAACCTCCACGAATCTATATAATTGAATAGTAGTATCATATTATTTAGTTTTATTAGTATTATTATTAGTTAGTAACCAAAACCCCCCAACCTTGCCCTGGATAAGAACGCCAGCGACATTAGTTAGAAGAATTTAGGACTACTACTAGAAATTATCAACAACTCAACTCAAGATAAAGCAACCAGAATCAGTTATTCTCAGTCATGGCGTTTTCTCAGGCTCAAGACGGACCGACTCTACCAACAACCAACCCAGCTTCAACTGGAATATTCTCTGGCAATCAAAACAATCCCAACATGAATATTGATCCACCAATAATACCACCTCTTTTACCCCCACCACCAATGCGAACAAGTCATACTCGAGTACGGCACTATCGTGAAAGGTATGGGGCTCATCAAAACATTCACCAAAACGACGACCCAGCTGGCTCTGGGAACACTCAACAAACAAACTACCCTGCGGGAACCTACGGCTTACCTCCGGACATTCAGGAAATGGACGAGCCTATGCCTAGGCCTGCAGTCATCATCAAGGAACCAGACTTAAGATATGAAGGCGAGAACTTTGAAGACTTTTTGGAACGATTCGAACTGGCGGCAGAAATCTACGGTGCTGGCGGCTATGACAAAGCACGTCAAGTGTGTAGATTTGTGAAGGTAGAAGAATTGAAGAAGGAATTGGAATCAATGGACGGATACGAGCAGCGGAACTGGACACTTCTTCGTGCAAGCATGATAGAAGTCTGGGGAGGCGTGGCAAAGAAGATTCGGTACACGATCAAGGACCTTTACAATTTGATTGATTTCTGTCAGAAGAAAGGCGGAATCAAGCAGCTGAACGATTTCAAAACTTATCAGTCAAAGTTCATGATAATAACTAAGTATTTGGTAAGAAATGAACATATAGTAAATGAAACCAGTGTCTCTCACCTTTTCTTTTTAGCTTTTTCAACAGATATACAGACGAGCATTAATCGAGAGCTAGTCAAGGCAGACCTCATTCCTACAGGGAAGGATGGTTATAACAAACCACCCCTCCTTTCGGATGTAATTGATGTAGCTGAGGATGAAATTCGAGCAAGGTCACTTAATGTCTTTGCAGCTAGTGGATTCGCCGAGGCCAACCAATCGATGCAAAGGACTCTGGACCAGAAGAAAGGCGACGGAAAAAAGCGTGAGAAGATGATGGACGACAATCCTCCAGAAGTACTTCAGAAACAGGTTGATAGCTTGGCAAAAGCAATTGAGTCACTCACAGGAAAACTGGAGAATCAACCTAAAAATGAATATTCTCGTGGAAATGATTGACCATCTGGACGACTTTATGAACCTCGACCCTGTTACTATTGTCATAAGGAAGGACATTCAACCATAATGTGTTACGAAGCACAAAAAGATGAACGAGAAGGACTAGTCAAGAAAGAAGGACGTGATTTCTACCTTCCTAATGGCGAGAAAATTCCATGGGATCCTTCAAGACCTATTCGGGTGGTTGTGGCTGCGGACTCCGCAAAACCTAAACCTCAGATCACCAAAGTATACAGAACCGATCACCCATCAGTTTTTGAACAACAGACGGAACCAACACCCAACTCAAACGACTACGTCTCATCAATGCACAAAATTGACTGGAATCCACCACACCTAGGTTCAGAAAATTTTGACAAGGTCAAATCCAACGCAGCAACAACACGAGCAGAAGCGCTCCGTGGCAGAAGAAAACCCATGGCGGCAAACGATGACTCAGCAATGGATTTGGACCCAATCGATGAACTTGAAGAAATAGTGGAAGAAGTGGCAGCCACCAGAAAAACGCCTGGACAAATTGCGGAACCTCAAGCAAAACCAACTGTTCAGAAAACAGAGAAGACGGTTGAATCAGCCTTAGTCTCAGAGTTGGACAACTTGAAGATACCCACCACTTTTTCTCAACTCACATCAATTTCACCAACATACGCTCAAGAAGTAATCAAGAAACTTCAGAAACGAATTCCGGAACACAAAAATTCAAAGTTTACCTATGTAAAGGGACCAACGCAAGACTCCAAGGTATCAGCATCAATGCTTCTTAATCCAGAAGAAGAGGACCAGGACTACAACTGCTTTTATAGTTGTGCCCTAGGTTTCATTGAGACTCACATATCAGGAAAAAGGGTACCTTTCATGGTTGACTCAGGTTCCATGGTCAATGTTATTCCAAGGCAAGCGGCAATCGACCTTAATTTGGAAGTCATCGAAGTGGACATACCCATGAAGGGGATTGGCGGGGATCGTTGCGACATCAAAGGAGTAGTGGAAAATTGTGCCATCAGCATTGGACGATTCACTGGACCAGTTCACCTCTTTGTTTCACCACAAGCTCAAGATTGTATCCTTGGACGACCTTTTTTGTTTGATTACGACTGCACTTTGGATTATCCAGGAACTGGGGAACTACTATCTTTTCAAGGCGATAGTGGCCGACGAATCACTGTCCCCATTGCAAAAATAGGGCAGGGAAAAGGTTGGAATCAAATGAAGAACCTCAACCCAGTGGGAACTGCATACACCAAGGCGTATCAAACTCAAGAGACGGTTCAATCTCACTTTTCGGACGACTCGGACGACACCATAAAACCAAGCTTGGTTCAAAGGAAGCTCAAATGGGTCAAGAAAATCTGTCATTTTGTCAAACATAAGACTAGCAAGAAAAAGTCAGATCAATCAACCATCAACATCAATGACTTTCAAGACAAGGACTTGAAAATCAACACTTTACTCACAACAGGTCTAGGATTGAAGGTTCAGGAAGATCTCTGCAAGAACTGGAAAAAGGACAACTTGTGGTGTATGACCAAGTACAAACCAGTAGCCAAGAAAGTCCGACCAGTAAATCAAGCAATGCCTCAATCGATCAATCCCCCATTACAACGACCTCCACTATCTCGAGACCCATACCAAACACCACTGACACCAAATCCACCCGAGTTTAAACCTACTAACAAGATAACCGAGGAACGATTGGGTGTTATCAACTTTGGACCAGAAGGATGGTTGTGGCCCGAGGAAATAAAACTTTTCCGACATCTCATTGTGCTCAGGGAAAAAGCCTTGGCATTTTGCCCAGCTGAAAGAGGACTCTTGAAACATTCTTATGGCTTACCTTATGTCATTCCTGTCATAGAGCACACCCCTTGGCAAAAGAAACCAATCCCAATCCCTGCAGCAATCAAGGACGAATACACTGAATTAGTTCGAGAACGGGTTCGAACAGGATTATACGAACAATCAACCTCAAGTTACTCAAGTCCGGTATTCTGCGTAGCCAAGCATGATGGAAAACTTCGGATTGTGCACGATCTACAAGAAATGAACAGAGTCACTATACGGGATGCAGGCTTGCCTCCAGCAACAGAAGAATTCATTGAAGCTTTTGCAGGAAGAGCATGCTATGGCTTGGGTGATATTATGGGTGGCTATGACGAACGAGAATTGGCTCAAGAATCAAGACCACTTACAACTTTTGACACACCACTTGGACGTTTCCAACTCACTAGGCTTCCTCAAGGAGCAACCAACTCAGTAGCAGTATACCAAGCACAGATGATGTGGATTTTACAGGATGAAATTCCTGAACATGCTGGTGTATTCATTGACGATGGCGGCATAAAAGGACCAAAATCGACCTACGGCGGACAAGTTTTGGACGACAATCCGGGAATACGACGATTCATTTGGGAATACGCTCAGACTTTGGAACGCATATTGTTTAGAGTAGAAGAGGCAGGACTCACAGTATCAGGAAAGAAATTTGCTTGCTGTGTCCCCGCCTTGGATATTGTTGGACATATTGTATCTCAGCAAGGCCGACGTGTATCTAAGCAAAAGAAGAACAAAATCCTGACATGGCCAACACCTGGAAACCTGACAGAACTACGCGGATTTTTAGGCATCATTGTCTATGTTCGAATTTTCATCCAGAATCTTTCAGAAATAGCTGCACCTCTAAGACAACTTACCAGGAAAAAGCAGGAATGGATCTGGAACGCTCTTTGTGATCAAGCTTTTAATCGACTCAAGGAAATTGTGGGCAAGGACATTGTTCTCAAAAGCCTTGACTATTCAGCAAACGCAGGACTGATCAAATTGGCGGTTGACTCGAGCTTCATTGCAGCAGGAGCTGTATTAATGCAAACCGAAGTGGACACCGGATTGGATCGACCAGTACTTTACGAATCTATAGTATTTTCACCTGTGGAATCAAGATATTCTCAGCCAAAATTGGAGTTATGTGGGGTATCAAGAGTATTGAAGAAATTACAGACTTATCTTTGGGGCCAACACTTTGAGCTTCAAGTGGATGCAAAATCTTTGATTCAAATGATAAATTCCCCATCCCTTCCAAATGCGGCCATGACACGATGGGTGGCCTTCATCCAACTATTTTCTTTTGATATAGTTCACAAACCTGGGAAAACCTTCACCTTGCCGGATGGGCTTTCACGACGACCCATCTCTAGTGATGATGAGGAATTTTACCAGGACCAGGAAGACTTTGACGAGGAAGAACCAGTAGTCAAACCATGTTATAATTTTCAGATTTGTTCTCACGCTGAAATGTTAGAACTCAACGAATGGGAGTCTCCTGGATATTGGCGAGACGTACGGCACTATTTGGAAACCTTGGAACAACCTGCGCATATGGATCGACTGGAATTTGCAAGACTTCGACGGAACTCAGCACGATTTTTCAGCAGTGATGGACGATTAATGAGAAAACATTCACCTGCTCCACAGATTGTGGTAACCAGGGATGTTTATCAGGAAAGATTACTCCGGAAAGTTCACGAGGAACTGGGGCATCGAGGCATTGAAGAAACCTATCAGCGGTTGGTAACCAGGTTTTGGTGGCCGAGCCTGAAAAAGAAGGTCAAGAAATGGATTCAAAGCTGCGAAGAATGTCAGAAGCGGGATCCTTTGGTACCAAGGGAGATTCGAAACGCAACCGGAGACAGTTACCTTTTTGGACGAGTGGCTCTGGACGCATGCCATATCAAAGCTGGACAATACAAATATCTCATTGTAGCACGGGACGATTTATCCGGATGGGTAGAAGCCGCTCCTCTAGTCAAACTCACAGCTAGTAATGTGGCCAAATTTCTTCTGGAATCCTGGGTATACAGATATGGAGCAATCAAGACAGTCACAGTGGACAATGGCGCCGAATTCAAAGAAGATTTCATTGAAGCTGTCAAAAAGACTGGCGCAAAACTCAAGTTTACAACACCATATTATCCAGAAGCTAATGGAATGATAGAACGCGGACACCGGCCAATCAAGGATACTCTAGTCAAAATGTGTGGAGAATCTGGAGGCAAATGGCGGGAATATCTTCCATTAGTATTATTTTCCGACAGAATTTCAACAAAGAGAACTACTGGCTTCACTCCTTATGAGCTGGTTTTTGGACACTTACCAGTGTTGCCAGTGGACCTAGAAATGGATACATATTTAGGGATAGACTGGTCAGAAATCAAAACTACAGCAGAACTCTTGGAAGCCCGGACAATGCAACTGGAAAGAAGAGAGGAAATTCTGGAAGAAGCTCACGATAAAATGATCAAAGCCAGAGAAGCCTCTGTCAGATACTGGGATCGAAAAATGGCGGCACGGCTACGAAGACCTTTGAACACCGGAGATCTAGTTTTAATCTACAACAAAAGTTTGGAAGACCAATGGGGAAAGTTATTTTCTAATAAATGGAATGGACCTTTCAAAGTCAAGGAACAATTACCCAAAGGATCTTACTTACTGGAAGAACTAGATGGAACTGAACTTCACCGGACATATGCGGCATCACATGTCAAAAGATTTTATCCTCGAGGACGACGGCTGGACGAGATTAAGGACGACGAAGAAGACCCAGAAATTGGAAGTAATGATGATGAGAGTCAAAACAGCTCTGATCATGAGGAAGATTCCAACGGCTCGGACGGAAATAGTTCAAATTAAATTCAGCTACCTCCTGGGCACGAGACTAAACTGTTCAAGACCTCTCAAATTAACAAAAGAAGTCAAAAATATTAGTACTTGAAGCTTTAATCAATATTTTCTTTTCAATTTCACTGTTTCTCACAGAAAATGCCAAAAAAAACCCTAAGAAAAATTGATGAAAAACCCATTAAAAACACAAAAACATACATAAAAAGCACAAAATATTATGAAAAATTATTTCAATCTTCTTTTTTCTCATAGATTTCTTTTTTTGGTACCTATATGTTTCCTTGTCTAACTTCAACAACTCAAAAAACCCATAAAACACCAGAAAAACATTCAAAACAATACCTAAAAACAACCAGAAAAACCAAAATTAATTAGCATTGCTGGCTTCAAATCTTTAAGTTGGGGGAGGAAACTCACCTGTACTTGTTGATATGAGGATTAATATTATTTAAGTTGGGGGAGGATCCCAAAACACTCATCTTCTTTCCTATCTTTTTTTTCTCTTCATTTCTTTCTTCTCAGTTAGGTCTTCACTGGCTTGAAGATCCCTCAATTTCTTTTACTCACTTATGCTCTCACTGCACTTCCTTGGGCAACCTCACTTACTTCTCTCACTTAGTTTAGGTTGGGGACAACCTTTTTTTAAGTTGGGGGAGGGGTTTGGGCTTTCATTGATAGCAACAGGCAGTAGAAGCTAAGATAAGTTAAGGCTAAAACAAAAATAAGTTAAGGCTGAGACTAGACAAAGTTTTTTTTGGATTTTTAGTTATACTGATTTTTTTTAGCTTAAGAAAGTTTTATACTTTTTTTTGAGTTAAGAAAAAGATTATGTATCGATTTTTTTTTCGGTTTTAGTACTTTTTTACCCCTATAGACTGGCTGTCCATGATGTTCAGGCAGCAGAACCGGTTCCAACGAAGCAGCCTAGACACCAGGGGAAGTTCAAAAACAAGAAGTCAGCAACCAATCAACAAAATAACAAGCAAGAATCACAACTTACATCCTACACGACTCGGCGAGTCATGGTACGGTAGCGGCGAGTGATGAACTGAAACAAACGAACCCGATCTTGACGTTCGTTGGCGTTGGCTGCAGGATGACGGGTCCAATGATGGACCAGGGCCGAAGTAGCTGACTGGTAAAAATTGTCGAAGTGTTGAGGTGTGAACTCATATCGATCAAAGCGCTCGGGCGCTGCGCGGCGGTCTAGCAGGGATTCGATCTGGTGACGAGCCAGGAGGTGATAATCGTCTGGATCATACATACCCGCGGGAGTCGGAGACGCGACTCGAACTTGAGGAGCGAGGAAGTCTTCCGCGGTGTGAAAACTATCGCCGGAGCGGATAGAGCTGAGGTTGCTAGGAGCTCTAGCAACGTTAGCGGCCGGGACGCTAGGCGAGGACGGGACCGGAATCGGAGTTGGGCGGCGTTGAACCGCAGGCGGAATCGGATGTTGATTTAAGAATTGATCGATGTCGACCTGGGCCCGGTTGGAATTGAAGAACTTAGATAAAGAAACAAACGGCATCAGTAACTCTCCAAGACGCAAACATATCAGCAACAAAACCTCGACTTACCGGAGCGTGACCGTGACCAAACGGCACCCCAGCGGCTGGACCGTTGGGGTAATAGAACCGGTTAGCCTGACCTCGAATTCGGAGCTGGGCAGGTGGGAGTCAACCACGACCATGACCAACTCCACGGCCTCCACCTCTGCCTCCAACAAAACCTCGACCGCGTGGACCCCCTCCTTGACCTAAGGGGGGGAAAGCTTGACCAGGAGGGTGAAACATAGGGGGGTGCGGATAAAAAATGGGATGAGGGAAGCGAGGCGGATTAAGACGATAAGGGGGCGGCTGAAAATGAGGAGCTCTTGGCTCAGGGACATTCATGCCCACACCAGTATTGGTAGTGGGAGGGGTGGACATGGGGTAAGAATGGTAGGTTCCAGGACTCGGATCGGTTGAAGGAGGCGACGGACGCATATCTTTAATCTACACAATCAATCAACAACAACAATTCAGCGCACCAGTCGGGTACACTAGGAATACGGCCAGACAACTACTAACACTAAGTAAACTACGGTGAAGGATTCTTAACGAGGATAGTACTACTGCAGGCAAGGGTGTGTGGACTAGAGACGGGAGGGGAAAAGACCCTACCTTTATACTAGACTGAGGTAGAGGAATCAAGCGGAAACGTTTGCTGGGTTTCTTCATCTTACCACGGCCTCGAAGGGGAAGCAAAAACCAGCCAGCTTGCGGATGAGGGTGTACCCGGTTAACTCCACTTAGTGCGGCAAAGTTGAAAGGACGACAGGCGATCTGAGACAAGAGGGATCCACAGCTAGCGTAGTTTTTCGACTGACCGGTGGTGAACCCTTGAGCAGGTAGGCTAACACGAAAAGAGGGACCTGAGGCTTTTTTGAAGGACCGGCCTCGGCGACAGGTATCTGGACTTGACGAGGATCCACCGCTAGTGCGCTTTCTCAGTTGGCCAGTGGTGAAACCTATAGCTGGGACCCAAACACGACAGTAGGAATCCAAGCGTATTGCGAAGGACCGGCCTCGGCGACGGCGTTTGGCGGGAGGAAGGAACTTAGGCTGGAAGATCATATCGGGTCTCTGATTCAAGCAACAGCCAGAACCAAGTCTTCAGTTCAACTACGTACTACGCTAAGGATCACGAACAAAAAGAGAAGAAATACAAATTACTTACTGTTTTTTTTCGACCGAGGATCTTGACGGTCGATCCGATTCGAAGATTGGAAGACGTTGGAAGTCGATTTTGTGAGGGATGTAGCGGTGCCGGTTGCCTGGTAGGTATTCAGACATATCCAGGGCCGTGGGCACTTGAACCCCGGTCCGGAACGGCGCACACGGCCTGGAGCACGGAGCACAGGGCGCGCGGGGATCGGGACGGGTACCAGACACCCCGAACCCCCAATTCTGAACTCGAGCGCAACCTCAAAGGATTAAGTAAGCTGCTGCGTACGATACGACTACTCGACGTCACCTGCTGCGGACTGCGGACTGCGCGCTGCGCACTCTCTTTTTTGGAAAAAAAAAAAAAAAAAAAAAAAAAAAAAAAAAAACCCCTTTTTTTTTGAAATTTCCAAGGAAAAGGGGGGGTCTTTTGTGGCCCATTTTTGTTAGTAAGAAAAATGAAAACACCCAAATCAAAGGTGGAAGTAAGAACTTGCTACTGTAAATTTACACAACACAATGGACAACTCAACACGGCTAATTCCACGGCACCCTGGCGGGAAGTTTTTGGCGGAATTGTCTGGGGACAGACAATAAGTTGGGGGAGGATGTGGTATACCTTAAGGGTAGCCATCTGGCCCATTTAAAAATTTTACAGTTTTTCTTTTATTACAAATTGCATACTTTTTACACCTTTTTTCTCATATATACACTCACAAATCAACCATTATGGCTCAAGAATTGGATTCTATGGTCAATTTCACCCTTGGTCACCACTGGAGGCGTCACTGGAACTCAACTGGATTGGAAGCTACACCCTCTGGACCATCACTACACTCAATTACACAACTCACCACCATGGCAACACTTCAACACTCAACACCAACAACAAATTACATCATTCACACTACACACATGCACGTTGCAGGACAACTACATACTCACATCATTATAGTACAGGTATACACATAACTACACTATCTTCTGACACTTGCTATATGTAGCTGCTAGGCTGGTCCTGTTGCTATGTCGCTTGTTAATCTTCCTTGCAGCTGTCAGACTATCTCACACCACTCATGTAATACTCATCACCTCACCTTAGCTTGCAGGCTAGTACATCACCTCATGTAAAATGCTTCACCAGCATAAAACCCTCATGTAGACTTCTAGTTCAAGCTAAAATAACTCTTATGACATCATGTAGGTGGCTCAACCAGCCAAAATACCTCATGTACATGTTCTGACTAGCTAAATCCCCTCATTGTAAAGCTCTGGCCAGCTAAAATATCTCATTCTCTTGTTCCCCTGAAGCTAAAATCCCTCACCTTTGTGTATTTAAGAGGCTCCCTTCTCAGTTGTTTTCCCCTCAGTTTAGTATCCACCTATTTCATACCCCCTACCCTTACAAACCCTTACATACCATTACATACCATCCCCTTACCATTGAAATATCAGCTAGACTCACTCTCTCACTCTCAAATCAACCTTTAGACCCTTATAAAACTGGGTTAAACCCTTTGTCCACCTGTTAAGCCACAGTTATCTTTTGATACACTCCACTATCACTTTATTAAACCTTCCAATCTGAGATTGGTGGGCTTGTCTAGTGTCTAGTGATCCAGGAAAGGCAGAGGTATCCTCATTCATCCCTTTCCACACTCAGCAAAAGGTTTTCACAAACACTTTTGAGCTTTACACCGGTGCCAGACGGGCATCTGAACAAATGCGTGCCTTGGCATCAGCACATCCTAGTAGTTCACGCCGGTCACTAGAACTACCCGACTTTGGCTCCACCAGATTGACTTCCTCCAATACTCCGAGCGCAACCAGATCGACTTCAACCAATGCCCCAAGCCCAAACAGTCTCAGCCCCGGCAATGTTTCCCAGAGCTTGTCTCCTTCTGATTTCGACTTGGAAGGGACCTCAATCTATATTGAAAGGCCCAACGGCACTGAAATTACATCGGAAACATCGAGTGTGGAAATAGAGTATATGAACACAAACGACCTCTCAGTGGAATCAACGGTGGGCCGCTACACTAACCGTAGCGGTTAGTGTAGCGTAACGTAGCGGAATTCCCGTTAGCGTTAAGCGTAGCGTAGAGGAATTCCGCCACGACACCGCTAACGCTACGCGTGTGGGCCGCAAAAAAGGGCCCACTACGCTGCGCTACAGCGGTTTTTAGCGGTTTTTAGCCGCTTTTTCCGCTAAAAGCGCTGTAGCGCAGCGTAGCGTAGCGAAAATGCGCTACAAAAGCGCTAACACTACGAATTTTTGGCGCAGAAAAAGCGCCGCTACGCTACGCTTTTTGGGCCAAAAGCGTAGCGTAGCGTAGCGGCCCACCGCTGGTGGAATCCAGCCGCTCGGCAAATTACATCATGAAATCGCCATACTTGATGCCTCAGGATCAGAACTTTGATCGACGAAAAATGTTACGAAGCCCTTCGGGCGACCCCATAGGAGCCTTCAGCTCCATGTCAGTGCGTCAAACCAAACCGTCCCCATCGCCAACTCGGAAAATACAGCTGTTGTGCAAATGATTGCGCTGATTTCTGAACTTTTTTTTTTTTCTTGCGCGCGACTTTTTTTTTTGCCCCGATCCTCGAAGCCCGGCCCCGCCTGTGCAAAGTACCACGGAGCACACACCGGGTGAGACCACCCGATTTCACCCGATCAGCCGAAGTTATATATTTTTTTTTTCAGGCTGAGTCGGTCATGATAATCGGTGGGTAATCTCCTGCAAATTTACCCGGCGGGCTCGGGGCTTCGAGGATCGGAGGAAAAAAAATTGTTGCGTGAGGAAAAAAAAACAAATTCGGAAATCGGCGCAATCATTTACACAATAGCTGTATGTACAAATCCCAATCCCATGTTACCTCTGCTTCCAGCTGGCAAGAATTTGTCTTTGAACGACTTCCTGGTTCATTGCAACATTGATATTGATGATGCAATGTGCCAGATCCTATTCAAAGGCCATGACGTCCAGCACTGGTTCTTTTTTCGAGGGAAGTCAGACGAGCACTTGATGCGAATTGGATTCACAGGCGGATTGGCCACACATCTCAGCAATGGAGCAAGCGAGTTGGAACATACTCATGTGCAACAAGAGTTTGGCTCTCCGGAAGTCTGACCGACCACTCTCCAGGACTCTGACCAACCATTATTTTTTTCTTTTTTTTTTTCTCTTGTAGTATATGAGGCATACCCCTTGAAAGACAAGTTTTTTTCTCCATTGAGTCAGCCCGACTCAATGTTTTTTCTTGTTTTTTCAATGGTTTTTTTTTCAAATTTATTACAGTGTTTGTTTAATCCTGACTGCTCCGATCTCATTTATCAAGCTTCTTTGCCTGCTGACTGCTCCGATCTCATTTCCCAAGCTTCTTTGCCTCCGTTTTATTTATTGTGATAGCTTGATATTGGAAATGAAAACTCAACAAATTTCAAAATCAATTTAACTTGTTTATTGAACAACACTTGCACAAGACTTTGGCCGTGGTCTGTCAGACTCATGATTGGTTGGATATGTCCGCTTTCGGCTAGACTCTTGATCACTTGGATATCCTCCTTGTTCCGATGCATCTCACTAAATCGATCTCCTCCAATGTCAATCTGCTCTCCTCATTTATCAATCGGTCACAGTTTGAAGTAGATGATGTGTATGACTTGTGACTTGAAGCACATTGTAAGAAATAAGAAAATAAGAAATCGTCTGTCAAAAATGAGAGACAGAAAACAAACAAAGGTGAAAATTGACCTGAAGAAAACAATTTTGTTGCAAAGAAAAATGAAAAGAAAACAGAAAAGTTGAGAATAACAAGAAAGACTAGGCATAAACGCTGCCCAAGTACAACGATCACATCAAACCAGGAGTTACAAATGTCGGGAGGAACCACTTGATGATCTGTGCATCACCCCAATTTCCATTGAGTATCTGGGCCCGTTTAAGTCGGCTCTTTAGAACAGAAAAAAACTTCTCAATCGGATTAAAATTGGGTGAATACGGAGGCAGATACATGAGGAGCACATGATTCTGCTCGCAGATCTCCTGGATCCTCCCACCATGATGAATGCGGTGATTGTCCATCACCAAGACACTGTTCCGGCCGGGATACGGATTCATACAGGGCATCTGATGTATGCCCAACATGTCAGACACAATAGAGACCAGCTTAATAATTGAAGAGCTCAAATGACTTACCAATACTTCCTCAAGGAAGTACTCGAAATCCAAGCGAGTCATTGAACCCGCTTGCGCTGATGAGCATAATAAGCCATCAAGTGAGACTGCTGGAATAATATTGATCCAAATTGCATCATGTCGCCAAGGAATACGGGTCGTGAGACGTCCCATACGAGCCCAGGCGTGAGTACGACGATGAGTATCCTGCGATACACCGGCTTCATCTAATCAAACATAAGATATTTTTTGTTATGTTAGCTACTTATCTTCAGCTCACAACCAGAACATACTGCAACTCACCAGTGAAAACCAGGAACTCCGACGGAATCTGCGCAATCACACAGATGTAATTTGCCTGCCAGATTGCCGATTGGTAGGGGTGAACCGTTGCTGCAACCTTCCGAGTAAGCGAGCTTGTACAGCCTCTCCGCCGAAGCGAGGGACTTTGATAAGTTCGCCGAGTAAGCTGTAATCGATGTCGGAGGTCATCGTAAATTGTTGTTAGTGGATGAAGAACACCTGTCATTGCCTCAATGTGCACTTGAATCTCGTCAAGGTACAACATCGGCTGGTGTTCAAGGACATCGAGAATAAACTCGCGCTCCTTGCTGTTGATTGCCAGAGGCTGGCCACAATCTTTGTATGTTGAAGGGTCCCTGACCACGTTGAAGGTGCGGATGTAAAGCAAAATCCAGCAATTCATGGTCTTCCGATGGATTTGGAAATCCAAATCGTTGTTGATATTGGTTATGGTGCGACGGGCCATCAACCAACGCACAACTAGGGCCTTAATTTGAGAGTTGTATCTGCACAATGGAGGCATGTCAGATTAGCGAGGAAAGGAACAGAACAATTGATTTGATCTAAAAAAACCTACAGTACAAAACCATGGCTTCTTGGGAAGGCTCGATTGGTGGAAGGCTGGGAAGTGATGTTTTTGCAATTGGATGATTGGGAGGTTTTTGGCTTTTGGCGGCAGCTGGGCAGGATTGGATGGATGGATGGATCGCCTGGTGGGTGGGTGGTGAAGCCGGCCGGGATTTGAATGACTGGCCATGAACTGAAGCTGGCCGGGATCTGACCGACTGGCCATGAACATGAGAACTCAGTTGATGGCATTTGAAATATGCTTTTTTGTATTTGCATATTTGAAATTCTATGTACATACAAAGAAGCAAACAAAAAAAAATGCAAAAAAAAAGACTCGGAAGGACAAGCTTTTCCGAATTAGCTGTATTACATATTGTGTTTCCAAGAAAGCTTGGATCAGTTTGCTTTTTGAATTTTTTGTAATCCTTTGAATTTGATTTGACAAATCCCATCTTTTCATTTTCTCAGTCGGGTTTTATCTTGACTGATGTCAGATAACACCTGGGGATAAAACCACCTCCGGAGCCATGTTGCTCCAGTAGATGCTCTTGGGAGGAGAATTAACAAAAAAAAAAATGAGTTTCGTATTTGGAACCGGAGCAGTTTGTAGGTCCGACCAGCCCCTTGCTGGGCCCGCCAGTGACTCCCTTCTACATAGTGCCCCATTGGTGGTGACTGCCAACCAAGCTCTGGACCCTCACATGAGCTCAGAAGAAAGTCGAAAGCCCTGGGACACACACCTCATGAGGCAGAAACATATTTAGAAATTATCAATAAATTAAATCCATATAAAATTGCAAGAAAAAAAAAAGCAGTTACAACAAAAAATTCAAAAAAAAAAAAAGCAAACCGATCCAAGCTTTCTTGCAGGAAACACAATAAGTCCTTTTTTGTTTTTTTGTTGTTGTTGTCATGGTTCCAATTGTGTGTCCTTCCCAAACCAAAATATCTTCCAATCCCTTGCTGTGCTCCTGCAGGTGTGTGACCAGAATCAGGTGTTGTTGTTGTATTTAAACCACTCCGGCTCATTTGATTTATTCTATCAGGAATATCCCATTATTACAGGACAGGGTTCAAGAAAGAATGGAGAAGAAGAATGAGAGAGTGAGATTGAGTGAGTGACAGCCACAATCAAACCTACCAACCAACCAAAAAAGAAAAGAAAAGAGTTGATCAACTACCCAGATAGCCCAAGGAAAGCAAAGTCCAACAACGTAAAACAAAGTAAAACAACGTAAAACAACATAAAACAAAGTCAAACAAAGTCAAATAAATTAAAACAAATTAAAACAAATTAAAACAAACTCAAACAAAGTCAAACAAATTAAAACAAAGATTACAAAACCACGTAAAACAGCATAAAACAGCGAAAAAAAAAAACGTAAAAAAAAACGTAAAACAAGCTTATAAACACACCATAAAAGAAGGTTATACAACCAAGTAAAAGAGAGAGTCAGCCGACGAGCTGCAGTATCTGCTGGATGATGATGCTAGAGTAAGGCGGGCCGAGGGGAAGCGAGCGAGGATTTCCAGAAGTCGTTGGAGGGGGGGAGTTGAGGGGCGCGTAGTCGCCGATCATGAGTGCGAAGAGCGCGGCGAGATGGTCGAGTTCTTTGAGCGGCTTGAACGTCACCTGGATCCGTCCTCTGTGTTTGTTGTACGACTCATTCGATGACTCAGACTCAGAAGATGAAGGAGATGAAGGAGAAGGAGAAGGAGACGAGTGGGTGGGATGGGTCAGCGTCGAGAGTAAGGTGCTCAGGAAATGGCTCTGTAGGATCGGCACGTTCTTGTCTTCACCTGCTCTTCCCATCCACATCATCATCATCATCATCATTTTTAACACTTAATCAAAAAAAAAAAAACATGAATTTGACGTACCGCCATGAATGATGAGGAACTTAGCAGGCAGATACCTGGGCTCCAAGAACGGAAGCGCGTGGTGGAGAAGATGGGCGGGCGAGTTAGCGAGGGAGGATGGATGGGAGGGGCCCAAGGCTCTGCGGGAGGCGAGGATGTCGAGCCAGCCGGCCCTGGCCTCGGCTCGTAGCTGGTTGATCGGGTCGTAGATCCCCGACAAAAGGATCATCCCTTCGATCATCGGCAGCTCTTCTTCTTCCTCCTCTTCTTGTTGGAAGATGGGAGGGACGGAAGATGGATAGGCTTGGACGGCTAGACTCCGCCGGATCGCACTCCGAACAACCGTCAGCATCGACAGATGCGCCCCCGAGCCGTGCCCGGCTACAAAGATCCGCTCCGGATCGCCGCCGTATTCCCTGGATCAGATCGAAAACCAACGGCGTTTAATTCGAGTGAGGTTTTTTCTTTTGGGATGATGTGAGAGAAGCTGACCTGATCGAGCTGGCCACCCATCTCAACACACACCGGATATCCCGGACCGAGTCTTGACATCTGCCGTCGGGAAACTGAGTCTACACATCTCAACCGACTGACTAAGCACGAGATTTACAGACAAACAAAAAGAGAGGGAGACGAACAAAGTCAGGGATGACGACGCAGAAGCCGAGCCTTCGAAACCTGAGCCCGATCTGGAGGAACAAGGATTTCTCGAACCACCTCCAACCGCCGGGATGGATGAAGAGGAAGACGGGGGCGAGGCCGGCGGAGGAGGAGGTTGTGGGGAGATAGACGTCCAAGCGTTGGTTCCTCTTCCTTGTTGCTCGTCGATGATCATGGTGGTCGTCAGAATAGGCATAGATCAGGTCTCGACAGACGATCGTCGGCCGACTGCTTCGATGGCTGTTGTTCCGCCCAAGGACGATGATCTTTCGGTAGGAGTAGTCGAGGATCAGTTCGAGCCAGTTGGATCTGAGGAGGATGATGGCATGTTTGATGACTGAGGGTGGGAGGGTCAGTCGACTGGATCTATTCTTGGTGTGTGTTTTACTTACGGGTGTTGATGATCCTGAGTATCTTGAGTGGGGAGAATGGGAGGAGGAGGAGATGGCTGGGCCGGTCTTCCTGGGCGAAGAGGAGGTAAGGGATCCAGGCCAGACTCAAGCACAGCAGCTTCATCAATCACTTAGTCAGCCATCACCACTTCTTGGCTGAGTTACATATGTAAGATGGCTTACGAGGGTTGAGCTGATCCAGATCGGTAAGCCAAAGATGAGGGTGATCGGGAAGAGGGAGAGGAGGAGCGAGAGCGGGGAGAGGATCGAGCAGACCAGAAGCGCAGGCACGAGCAGACAGAGCATCCATCGGATCAGGCTGGGTCGTTGGACGGGAGTGATCGGCAGTACTGCTTGTTGTTGTTGCTGTTGTTGTTCTTGGTAGTAGTAGTAGTAGTCTTGTTCTTGTTCTTCTGAGGATGATGGTAAGTTGTTGTTGTTCTGTTCTTCGATCGACATCTTTTCCCTTTAATTTCTTTTTTTGGTGATTTGCTCAAGAATGTGTTCCCCTACATAAATATCTGGACCAATCATGACCTCATCAAACACACTTCAGCATACATGTTTATGTAAGCTACTTATTCTCCAGTCTCCAGACTACAACTACAGACTGCAGTCCACCACCAAAACAAAAAACCAACCACTACAAATCAATCAACATGACTCAGTCAACTCAAGAAGAACAAGAACAACAAGAATCAGAAACAGAACAACAACAAGAACTCAACACAAACCAGGAAAGCGAAGAACAACAACAACAACCTAGCCACTCTCTTCGACTCCCCAGAAACAGCACACTCCTCACAGCTCGAGACAGTCACAACACCAACAACAAGCAGAAGCAGAAGACCAGCAAAGCACGCACCACATCATCCCCAGAAAAACCAAAACAACAACAACGGAAACCGAAGAGAGTCAAAAGAAGAGAGAACCAAGAAGACGAGATCCTTGCTCGTTTCCAAGGCTCCTTCCACGCCGTCTTGACCAGACTACTCAGACTGATCACATGGCCGCTCAAATACATCCTCACCATCCTCCTTCCTCACACCTTTGCCGGGCTCACAGCCACCGCAATCCTGCTCTCGGTCCTGTACCTCCTACTGATGACCATCCAACGCTTCTTTTCGAGCCGACTAATCTTGCCGAGTCTTTCTCTTCTTGCGAATCCGGTGGCCTTGGTCGGCCGATCACTCAGTCTAGTGACCCCATCGCTGCTCTCGTTCTACTGCTCTACCCTGCACGCGCCCTTCTTCTGTACGGATCCGAAAGAAGATCATCAAAGGGAACAGAAGATCGCCCAGTACGCCCGCACGGTCTCAGACAGCGCCCAAAAGGCCGCAGACATCTTCGACTCCGTCCTCCTCCTCTCCAACCCCAACCTGCTCAGACTCCATCAAGCCGACATCCTCGAGCTCGCCTACGCCCTCCGCTGGGCCAGCGCCCTCGACAACAAAGACGCACTCGCCCATCAGCTCGCCCAGCTCGCCGAGCTCACTCGCTCCCTCAAGGATTCGCTCATCGACCTTAATGGACAGAGCTTGAATGCTTTCTCGTTCATCGCTTATGAGGTTCGTCTTCTCCCTCTTTTTCTTTTGGGATGATCATCTTCTGGTCGATAATCCTTTCCTTTTTTTTGGGGGATGAAATTGTTGGTCTGACATTTGCGATGTGTGTACACACAGTTTTCAAGACTGGGTGATCTGATGGAATGGGTCGAGAAGGGCGAGAAGAAGTACACCTCGGAGACGATCGGCCGGAACCTATCGATCCTATTTGAGCATTTAACGAGCGAGATGGACGGGTTATTGGGCTCGATAGAGGGGCTGATCCCGGTCGCGTCGCGGTCTACGAACCTAGGGCTGCGGGTGATGGAGGGCCTTCACCGGGCGCAATACGAGCTGATCGGGCGACGAGAGGCCCAAGGGGTGTTACGAAAGCTGACCGATCTGAGCTCGTTTTCGGGCCGCCAACTCAGGAGAGACTTAGCGCTCACCTCCGAGTCGATTGCCGCCTTGAAACGCACTTGGACCAGCTTGGAACAGCTCCGCGCAGACCTCTTGGCCTTCAGAAACCACGTCGCGCACTTCAGGGCTAGCTTCGTCGGCGCCCATCTCGCCGACCATCAGCTCGAGCCCCTCGACGAACTCTTCTCCATGCGCCAAATCATACAGGGCTTTCAGAATACCCTCGCCCTCCTCAAATCTAACTCCAGACATCCCAATCATCCTTCTTCTTCAGAACCAAATCGCTTGCTTCCTTCTGAGTCCAATCACCAGCACTCTTAATCTCCGTCCTCTTCTAGGTCCTTTCTTTCCACTTTGTTGTTGTTGTTGTTGTTGTTGTTTTTGTAGTGTAGTGCAGAGGAGTGCATCGGTGTTGTAGAGTAGCACAGAGGTGTTGTAGAGTAGTGCAAAAGTATACTTCTTCCTAAAGAAACGTCTGGTGATCCAGACATTTTTTTTTGTTAGGAGGCTTCCGCTATGAGAGTCTCTTATTGGTTCGATGCCAATGGGTTAAGTGATGGGTTGGATATATGTATCTGGGTTGGAGCAATGTTTATATGTATGTATTTAGATGTGTGGTTGTGTTGTGTCTGGACATGAATAAGTATTCCTCGAGGGAGGAGGGAAACTACGTCATCCCGGAACGCTTGACTACAAGCAAACTCATCTTTTGGGGGCTTCATGCCACTCTCTCTCTTGTATATTTCTCAGCTCTTCGACATGCTTCGGCTGTTTCTCTTCTGTAGCAAGAGAGAAAGAGAGAGAGTCTTGCAAAGGCTCAAACCTGCAGTCTTTTTTCTTGGTCATGATCGGTTGCCGCGTCCATCATTCTAACATAACATATATTAGGATGAACTTAACAAAAGCCCACGTCCCTGCTGCGGCGTGGGGCACTGTAGCCGCTTGTCGAGTGTGCAAGCACTAGGGACTCTCCCGCAGGGAGAGGACTTAGGAATAATGAGCCATCAGGGCCCAACAGCATCTCCAAGCTTTGGTGGCGGAGGATGTTGTGAGCACTTGCAGACCTCAGTTTTGAACAAGTTTTTTTTTCTTCTTCATAGTTTAAACTTTGTATTTTTCTTTATCAAATAGTCAATTCAGAACCTGAAATTTATATCCCATTCATGATCAATAAAATTCATGAAACTTTGAGTTTTTTGAATTTCCGTGGCCGCTTACTAGCAAAGCCATGGTTTTTTGGGTGGCTCTTTTTTTCGACAAACCTCTCTTTTTTTCTAACCTTTTGGCCTTTAATCTCAACGGCTTTCAGTTTATTCCCCATTTCTCTCTCCTCCCTCCCTCTCTCTCCCAACCCGATGCATACACTTCCCTCCTCGAGAACCACCTGACCCCTCACCATTCAAGACACCAACCTCTCTGATTGTTCAAACTGGTGAGAGGACAAAGAGTTCAATCCCCATCCAAAGAGATTCCAAGGAACTGAACGATTGTTCTACATTCGACGATTGCATCTGCCTGTTTGATGATTGCATCTGCCTGTTCAACAATTGCATCGTCCCAATCACCTGGCTCACCGTCGGTTTGCGATTCCAAAGCGACTTGATCTTGGTCACTTCATTCCAACCGCTTTCCAAAGAACTCAACAATCTTTCTGCTTACTTTTTTTGCTTTTGTGTTGATCTTTTTCGCCTTTTTTTTCTCTCTTTGATCTGTCTCTCTTTGATCTCTCTCTCTAACTATGAGTAATGTTTTCACATGTTGTTCATTTAATTTGAGGTATGGCATTATACTTCAATGGCCGATCGGCCAATTAACATTTTAATGGATCAATAGACAAAACATTAAAGGTCCAATAAAAATAAAAAAATGACCAATTTCAAAAAAAGATAGAAAAAAAACAAACGGTACCGGAAGAAAAATGAACAGACAGAATTGTAGATGTGATGCCAGCGCTCAGCTGGGATAGGGTAGTGAGAGCGAGACATCAAATGTCAAATTTAAAACTTGAAGCAAAAAAATCCTACGCTTATTTCCGAGGAGCTCTTGCGCGGGCTCCTCACTCTTGGTCATAAGCCTTGCTTGCACCTCACGCCTACGGGTGCTTGCGGGCTTTGTTACGCTCGATATTAGGACGGTTCACATTTCAAAACTTTCAGCAAATTTTTTATCTGAAATTAGCAGACCAACTTGACTGCACAGCATGAAATTCATACTGCTACGCCTGCTAGTTTCAGCTAGTTTCAGCGGTCTTTATTAAGCATTCCACCTATGGAAACACTCTGAAAGCTTTAAAATTGTTCAAAACCTCTACAGCAGTTCTAAGTATGCTTGCGGTTTTGCATCAAAAAAAAAAAAAAGTTCCAACCAAAAAAAAACTCTAAATATTTTTTAGTGTGGGAATTCTGGAGATGCACCGGCGGCGGCCGCTCCCGGTGGCTACCGGCAGCTACATACATACATATATCTATATCCCAGCAATCCACATCCCACCATCCAATCACCCAGCCCAAACCGAGCGGTCCTCATCCCATCACCCAATCACCAAGATCAACGACTTTCCAGAGGTAAGTTTCCGATTTTTCTCCTGCTTTGTGTATGATTTGAAATCAAGGCTGATGGCAATCATACTTGCATCGGCTGTATGATGCTTCATTTAAATTTACAGCTGTCCGATGTTTTCTTGAAGGTCTATCGGTGGAAGAAATAAACCTCCGCTATGCGTCGTGACGATTCCCTTCGACGATGGTGCAGATTGTATGAGAATACTCGGTCTGTTATCCGCAACCAAGCCACATATGCTACACGAGGACGACCATTGGTGTTGACCGAGGAGAAAAGTAACTTGGTGGCTGAACTAGTGACGAACAATCCTTCGATCTATTTGGCTGAGATACAACAGGAGTTGCTGGAGAGATGTGATGCAGCAGTTTCTTTGCAAACAATATCAAACAAGCTCCGTGTGCGACTCGATTTGTCTTGGAAGACACTTCGAAAGGTCAACGGCAACCAGGACCCCGATCAACGAGCGTGCTATGTGACTCTGATGGCTCATATTGACCCAGATTGCCTTGTATTCACTGGTAAGCCTTTATATTCACTTTTGCTTTTAATTGCAAGACTGATCTTACAAGGCAATGGCTTCAGATGAATGTGGCATCTGTCTGGATGGGGTCGTTCGCACTAGAGGCTGGGCTCCTGTTGGTGAACGGACCCCTCGTGTGGAGCAAGCACGGGCTACTCGTCGGTTCAACGTGATCCCAGCGGTTGCTTTATCGGGCCTGGTTGCATGTGCTGTTCTGGAAGAGAACATGGACCGAGATCATTTTGAGTACTATCTTGAATACATACTGGTAAGTCTCTGATACATTCTCGTTGATTGCTAGCTTCATCAGGCTGATTTGATCTTGAAGCTCCCAATGATGAATCCCTTTCCTGGTCCTCAAAGCGTTTTAGTAATGGATAACACTTCATTTCATCATCATGGTCGGATTGCTCAGCTTGTTGAAGATCGAGGCTGTCGCTTGATTTATTTACCTCCTTATTCACCCGACCTCAACCCTATTGAGAAAGGTTTCTCAGTTCTCAAAGCCCGATTGCGACACTATGGTAATCTTACTGGAGGGGTGGAAGATGGAGAGCAAATTGAGATATATGCTCAATTTGTCTTCACTGCTGAATTGATGCAATCTCTTTTCCAAGGATCTGGTTACATTGATTGATCGGTCGTTAACTTGTTTTTTTATATCACTGTCTACATCTCCTTGCTCTGGGATTAGTCCCTTATCTTTTTCCACTTGCTTCTTTCTATTTAAACTATATAAGGTCTGGTTCAATCTATATAAGGTCTGGGATGTTGTTACTCTTCTTCATTTCCGATGATCACAAAAAGCGCAAAAAAATAAGAATAACTACTTGAATGGTTTTTTTTACTGATGCACAAAGTGGACAATCTGAACTTGAGAGTGCTCTAATCTGTGTGAGCATCCCAGTTGCTTAGGAAGCTAGAAGAACCCAGTATTTTTCAACAGCCAAGGACCGATGAAGCTGTTCACCTGTGAAAGTGGGATTGAGTCGTTTGAAATCAGAATAAGGGAGACCGCGGTGGTATGTGGATGGTCACCTCGTGAGGCCTTCGTTGCTGAATACAAATATTGAACAATCAGATTCCCTATGTATTGTCTCTTACCCTGATTTAAGACTTGAAATCTTACAATTTCCCTTGCCCAGGCATGTGCCCTGTCCAAGGTTATGACAAAAAATTCTTGGTCGTTCTCCGGGTTGATGAAAACCGGTCTATATGGGCAGCCACTAAGTCGCTCACATGGTTCGTGGGCTCCCAATATGGCATGAGCGAGCTGGTGGATGGTCGAACTGGCTTCCATTCTTGACTGATGATGTTGAGCAGCCTGAATGCTTTCTTTGACTGGATTTTATAGTGAAAATCTGCTGGAATACCCGGAACAGATGGTAGATCACATGTTTGGCCAGAAAGGAACAGTGGTAAAAAAAACCAAAGCTGGAAGTTCCTTGAACTGAGCACGCTGTGCATGAGGTTTCATTTGATGAGAAGTTCTCATGTCAAAAATTGATTTGATGTTATAGTAACAAGTGTGAACAGTTAATAATGTGTGTGGGTTTTGTTATGTGACGTTCCAAGGTGTATTGCGTTTATTGATAGTTCTTCAGTTGAACCAATCCCAACTGTTTTAATAAAGAAACATATTTTTTATTCATGAGACACATTGAGCAGAGCGATAACGGACTAAAAGATCTGGACTGTCCTACAAGTCCGACCAGAAAAGAGCAAGAGGATCGTGATAATAGAGTAAAAAAAGTGATACATATGTATGTGAAACTAGCAGGCAGCTTGAGGTACAATCTGGAGAGACTGTAAACAAGCAAGTGAAAATCAATCGTGATGGGTGTCATTCTTTTTCATTTTGGAGTATCTCCTGAAAGCCCGAAGAAGTGATCGAGCAGATACACGTGGAATACCAGCATCTACAAGCTCTTCAACGTTAGTCAATTGGAACATTGACCAATGGGTAATCCCAAGCTCGTTGAGACCTTCATTCAAAGCAACTGAGTCGCCATTCCCTCGGGCAAACTTCAGAAAATCTTCAAGATTTGATGTACCATCGGAAGGAGCTGGAGAGCTTTTGATGACAGGAGCTTCACTGGGTTGGGCAGTAGAGGTGGAAGCAACCGGGTTTGACAAACCTGAAGGTGCTGCTGATGGCGGAAAAGGATGATTGAAACCGTATTGTCAAGCCCAAGGAGGGGGGTACATCGGGTACATGTTCGGAGCGTGTTGGACCGGTGGAGCTGGATGAGCCGATTGACTTGCAGTGGGGCTTGATTTAGAAGCAGACTTTTGAAATCGGAACAGGGGAGACTTGGGTGGGGTTAATAAGGTCACCTCTTGAGGGTTCGCTTTCTGCAAAGAAAAGAGTCAATCATACTGGAATACTTGTGGTGAGTCCGGTTTGTTCAAACTCATAATTGCCCTAGCCCAGGCATCAGCCTTGGGAAATGTTATGACAAAGAGCTCGTTTTGGTTTTCAGGGTTGATGAAAACTGGCTTCTCAGAACTACCAGAGAGTTGCTTGCATGGATCGTGAGCCGTCAAAATGTCCCGAATGAGCCTTGTGATCTCTGCCCCAGATGATTCCGAAGCTGTTGGGGTGACTTCTGGATTGTTACCAAGCCCATCGGGATTCAAGCCTGACTGAGTTTGCTTGAGACGTTTTAAGGCTGATGCTTTCTGGTTTATTTCAGACAGATTCCGAGTTAGTTATATTGGAAACACATATTGATTAGGACAGCAGAAAAAGCTCACTTCAGCAATGGCCTTTGGGTCCTTTTTTACTAATTGACACAACACTTTCCGATCATCGGAGGCACCTTCAGCAGCAGTGATAAATCGGGCAAATACCTTGGAATTCTCCAGACGTCGTTTGTGGTTTGCTGCAAATAAACCACCAAAAGGGATTGATACACACCAGTCTATGTTCCCTGCAGAGTCTTGTGTACGAGCAAATATTGCAAGTTGCTCTCCCTCTTTCTCGCCAATTGCTTGGATGACTGTGTCTTTGAATCTTTCAAAGTTGCGGTCTTGAGCATCCCAATAAATCCGAATTGTATCAGGATCAGAATGGACTTTTTTCTCAGTCCTGGGCTCATTGGAAGCGGGGGGTGGGCGTTTTCGAGGATTGCTGGGGCGAGCTGGTGATTCCGTGGCTAAGTAGAAAGTGAACTCAATTTGAATTGGAATTTGGGGCTGTAGAATGTTTCAGAGGTTAGTACTGGTAGAATTTGGGGTGGTTGGATAAAAAATCTGATGTAGTCTCACAGAATTTCCCCTTGGCTGTTCGGCTTCAATTCCGTTTGATTGGCCTACAGGCTGGTAAGCTGGGGGCTCGCTGGTGTTTTGAGGCCCTTGGAGATGTGCAGTCCCATCAAATATTCTGGCTGCAGGGACAGATGGACCATGTACTGAGTGAAACTTTTGCTGGTCTTGGAAGGGGAACTGATTGACAATATTAAATCCAGTCGCCGAAGATGATATCGAAAGGCCTTCATTACGATCATTGGCTGAGAAAGGATTGTTTGATTCTGTCAAGCGATTTTGAACAAATGGGTCTTGCATCCAATCATTGCTTGAGAGTCGGGATGTTGGAGATGGAGGTTTGTCATGGATAAGGTCATTAATACTAAAGCGCATCTTGGCTGATGATGATTTCCAATATTCAGCATCAACACCTTCCTTTTTATATTGAAAAGCAATAAAATTTACTTAACTGGTATATACACAGCTTTTTCGGTGAAAGGAACACAATTAGTAGCTTGCATCTAGCATGAGTAAAGCAGGCATTTAAAATGTTTGTTTTCCATCTTTTCATTCTCCTTGCAACATAAAAAACCAAGAAGCGAAGAGAAAAAATAAGTATTACTCACTTGAAATCTTGACTGATCAAGATAGTGTGTCATTGGAGTTGAATGAACTTGGAAGCATGGGCTTTTGGCTTGATGATCGGTGTCCAATGACCTAGATACAGTGTGTAGATAGAGTAAGTCTTTTGTTCAACCAAATGTGTGTGTAAAACATGGACCAACAGCTGCCAGTAGCCAGAGCTACATAGCTGCCGGTAGCCACGGTAGCGGCCGCTGCCAATAGCCACCAGGAGCGGCCGCCGCCGGTGCATCTCCAGAATTCCCACACTAAAAAATATTTAGAGTTTTTTTTTGGTTGGAACTTTTTTTTTTTTTTGATGCAAAACCGCAAGCATACTTAGAACTGCTGTACCCCGTTTTCCCCTAAGAAAGCAGCGCAGGATACTCGGCTCTGGATTTTTAGTTAACCTTCAAAAAACTGACACCCCTGAGCTTGATACTACGGCCGGCCCCTTGACACTGGCACACCCGGGACCATTCAGCGAGGTTTGGCTGCAAAATCCTTCCATCCCAAATGGAGGAAACCTGTGTACACATCTTCCACTTAGAATGGAAAATGGCTGAGTTGAGCTCGCCCAAATTTTTCAGCTCATCCAGCTCAGTCAGCTCAACTCAGCTCCCAGACCCAGCTCAGTCAGCTCTTGGACCCAGCTCATCCAGCTCTGAAATCCAGCTCATCCAGCTCTGGGATCCAGCTCATTCAGCTCTGAAATCCAGCTCATCCAGCTCTGGGATCCAGCTCATTCAGCTCTGAAATAACAGCTCATCCAGCTCAAAAACCAGCTCTAAT